TAGCGTTGGCCTCCAACCTATATAACAGGGATGGCCTCCAACCTACTGGCGATGGCCTCCAACCGAATAGCAAAAACCACCAAGTGGGTGGGTCAACTAGGTCAGGAATGAGGCCAGAAGAACGGGCTCAACGAGGCAGGTCAGTCAGCCAATTTAACAACAAACGGAAACCCAATGGCCATTGTAAATCATCTCATCTGCTATGCTGGTCTTCACATACCCACGTTCAATTTAAGACCAAAGCTACCCGGAGCTCCAGCCATGACAACCCACTACTCAAGAAGCAAGTATTGCTTTGAGATACTTTGAGTCGTGCAAGGGTCAGTTTGAATCGATGTTTTGCTTCCCCTCAACTTCAATCCCATCGCATGTACAAAAAGCAGATTCTAGCTGAAAACCCCAAAGAGACCATTGCAGTCCAAGATGCATTGTGCACCAAGAGCTGCAATGAGCCTGCAAAGAAGCAAAGTTCGTCAAGATTCGTTAAGAGTCGTAAGAAGAGTTTGATTCGACAGAAGCCTTGGCAGAAATCTTCTGTCGCTTGCGTCGCATCTTGGATGGAGGCCTGCCGATCGCGAGGACATGCCCTGCTGTCGTATTGCGCCGGATTTTCCAGCTTGTGTGGAATCTTACGAGTCCAATAGGAATTGTGGCAGCAAAATAGTTTGGTAGACATGCCCAGCCCGTGGATGAACCTCCTCAGTGAGATCCAGGTTCACCACCAAGAGTCTGTTGCTATACTGGGCCTTCAGTGCCTGCGAGCACCAAGCCCACCAGACTGAGGATCCAAGCCCCAATCTGCAAGTGCTCTGAGAATGTCCGAAGGAACGTCAAAAGAAGCAGAGCACCCACAGTGGTGGCATGCGAAGGTACTTGCACCAGAGAGGATGCGTGTGGTTTTGAAAGAGTTATCTTGACATTTTCCTGAAGTCGCCTTGATTCTCCAAATCAAAACGCAGAACAATGCAAAATAAGAAAACAATAAACGGACCGATTAATACGTTTGCATAAAATAAGTTTTGTTCATGGTACTTTGAAACCAAGGGACACAACGTACAACAAAGGGTTGAAAGAGATCCGTGCCGTGGCAGCAAACATAAATGCTGTTCGACTTGACAAGTAAAAGCAAACCGTGAGATCATGCGCCTCCAAGGGCTCTGATACCGTTCGTGCAGCCGCCACTACGCGGCTTCCAGGGTTCTCTCGGAGAATCGCCTGTGAACAGCGCGATGAATGTGAAGCGAGATATCTTTCTCGAGCCTTGCCAAACATGTGGCAACTGCTTGTTGGGTGAAGATTCATGGTGGACTTGCGTGGGAAGGTGGCAAGTTCATTGTATGCAGACTCTTTCGCAGCTGTGTCGCCCTGGCCGAAACGTGTTTGACATTTTGTGTGTAAGTAACAGTCCTCCCACACAACACATTTTGGCAGTGGGCTCCTCGACGAGTGGGGGCATCGTCTGCCCCTGGGAGCCCCGCTAGAGGCACCGTGAGAAATTTGCCGCCATTCTCGATTGAGACTGACATTAAGATCATTAAGCCGATTTTTTCAAGCGAGAAGGCCAAGTTCATGAGTCCTTTCACTAGTTCACGAGTTCCGCGATTCTTGAACATAACTCCGCCGTGATTCTTGAACCAACTAGGTTTAAGCAACCCCTCACTCTAGGTTGGAGGCCATCGCTACTAGAGTGGAGGCCACCGCTTAGGTTGCAGGCCATCGCTCTTAGGTTGGAGGCCATCGCTACTAGGGTGGAGGCCATCGCTTCTATAAACACCCTCACTCTGGAGCAAGAAGCTACTAGGAGCAAAGGGCATCGCTACTAGAAGCAAGAACGCTACTAGGGGCTCCTGGCCTTACTACTAAGAGCAAGAAGCTACTAGGAGCAAAGGGCATCGCTACTAGGAGCAAAGGACGCTACTAGGGGCTTCTGGCCTTACTACTAGAAACAAGAAGCTACTAGGAGCAAAGGGCATCGCTGCTAGGAGCAAAGGACGCTACTAGGGGCTCCTGGGCTTACTACTAGGAGCAACAAGCCACTAGGAGCAACTAGGAGCAAAGGGCGCTACTAGGGGCTCCTGGCCTTACTACTAGGAGCAAGAAGCTACTAGGAGCAAAGGGCATCGCTACTAGGAGCAAAGGACGCTACTAGGGGCTTCTGGCCTTACTACTAGAAACAAGAAGCTACTAGGACCAAAGGGCATCGCTACTAGGAGCAAAGCACGCTACTAGGGGCCCCTGGCCTCACTACTAGGAGCAAGTAGCTACTAGGAGCAAAGGGCATTGCTACTAGGAGCAAAGGACGCTACTAGGCGCTCCATCGGTACTAGGAGGAAAGGACGCTACTAGGGGCTCCTGGCCTTATTACTAGCTACTAGGAACAAAGGGCATCGGTACTAGGAGGAAACGCTACTAGGGGCTCCTGGCCTTAGTACTGAGAGCAAGAAGCTACTAGGAGCAAAGGGCATCGCTACAAGGAGCAAAGGACGCTAGCTACTAGAAGCAAAGGGCATCGCTACTAGGAGCAAAGGACGCTACTACGGGCTCCTGGCCTCACCACTAGGAGCAAGTAGCTACTAGGAGCAACGGGCATTGCTACCAGGAGCAAAGGACGCTACTAGGCGCTCCTGGCCTTACTAGGAGCAAGTAGCTATTAGTAAAAAAGAGAGCCTCCCAGCGCCTCCCGTCCATACCCACGCGCCTCCCGTCTCGCGCCCCTTTCCTTCCATCCACAGCCCCGTCCACACCCATCTTCCGTCCACGACAACGCTTGCTTTGTCTCGCTCTTCCGCGGCACTAGCGACTAAACGAGAACCCAGTGTTGGTATTTCCCGTGTGGCACGCCTGCACCAAGGCCAGGCCGATCCCACGACTGCCACCTGTCCTAGCGCTTGGACCATTGAAGTCAACAGAATACAGCTTAGGCGACCCCTAAGAATCTGGCATCATGTTTCTTTATAACGCTGGGATCAGTATTGATAGATGCATCTGAGTTGACGAAGCACATCGTGTGGTTTGCGTCATCTCTCAAATCCTGCATCAACCCTACGCGCTGCGCGGGTCGTGTGCTGAGACAAGCACACAAAGGCCGACATGGCACCACGTTTTGTGGCAAGGGAAGTCACTGGTGGAAATGTATACGAATCTGCAACACAAGTCACAAAATGTTAGCATATTGAAGAGCAAATCCCAAACAACAGAAATTCAAAAGATTTATGGCAAACATGGCTGGATCCTAAAGAAGTTTATGTGGTTTGATTAAACGAACTAGGTCCAAAAGCATGTGGACTCAAACACATTGTGTACGTGACAAACTCAACCTGCTGCTTGGTTGAAAACCATTTTTGCCAGCTTTGTTTGATGCACACTCTCTTATGTCGTGCTTGAATTTTCAGAGCACCGCGAAATATGGCTGACATGAATTTGGCCAAGGTGGACCAGAAACCCAATCGCGTTGAGTGAAGGTCAAAATTTGTGGTGGAGATGCAGGTCATCAGGATTTGGTAAGTGTATTATCGTTGTTCATGTCCGTCATGTTATTGTTTTTTGGTGAGTGCGTTATCTTTCTTGAGCGAAATATCCCATGACTTTTATCACTTCACTAATTTTGAGCCTAGCTCAAATGACCGGGCAACGCATGTGTATGACCGCATGCAGCCTCTAACGCAAACACTGTTGCTTTGCCAATTCAGCTGCAACTCACTCCAAATGATGATCATCTTTTCCTTGTTGACATTCAAAGGAGACCACAATAAACCAGGCCAGTGCTCAATTGGGCAACACAAATGGTGGATACCGCTTTGCTCTTGCAAGTCAAACCGCCAAGGCAATACTATTTTGAACAAGAATGTTCCCCAAAACAATGTGTTCGCTGTAAGCTCTTACAACAAGAGCTGAGTTTGCTTGAAAGCGCACTCCATGCTAGAGTTACACATCTTGCACAGAGTCACAGAATTTATGGCGCCCGCACTTTGCTGTTTCCTACGGCTCTCGTTATTTCGCGCATTTGACCTACCTGGTCACTACCTCCCACCATCTACCATTGCCTCCATCCACCGTCAGTGTGAAGACCTGCATCCATTGCATCATGGATCCATTCGCATTGCATTTGCAATGCTTGTTGTTCCTGAACCTGGGAAGTGTTTGTGTGCAACTTTCGTTCGAAGCTGCTCTGAGAAACCACGCCATCTTGGGGCCAGGTCTCCTGCTGTTTCCCTTCGTTCGTCTCCCTTTGTCTCATTGTCACTCTTTGTCTCGATTCATTTGTCTCCAGGTTGGTTGTCTCTTGTTTTATTCTGGTCGCAGAACGCACCAAAGTCAAACGGACCAACTAGGACCTAGCAGCTCGCTCCTCTACAGAGCAGGTCCCAGAGCTCAAAGTGTCCCCTTCGTTTCCCTCTGTGCTTAGCCTCGACGAATAGGCTTCGAAGGGGAAACACATGTGGACCAAGAATCTTTGCGACTCGAAACGTGATCAGGCCACTGTCTCTGCAGGTAGGCCCCAATCTGTTTGCTCTCCTGATTTACCACGCGTGCAGGGGGATGTCCAAAAACAGGAAGGGAAGTGAGATGAAAACATGAACAATCCTGTCAATTCAGCTCTGGATTTCAACTGGAAATACAGCCGTCAAACCAAGGTGATGGAAAGCCACAGAACAAATTGACAATTTGTATAAGATTTTGGATACATCTTTCTTGGCAAGCGTCAATGCAAGTGACAAGAGAGATAAGACCATGAAAATAAAATTCTGAGATTGCTCAAAAAAAGAAACTAGACAACGGTTGGCCCGAGAGCGGGACATGTAATTGTCCAGCACTGTCGAAAAGATGTATAGAAAGAGAGAAAGAGAGGGTGGATGTGCAGGTGCGATTTAGGTCTGTAGATGTATGGAGGTGGAGAGGTAGATCGGTGGATGTGAGCGTGCGAAGATGTAAGTGCACAGGGACGAGAGAAAAGATATGTAGGAAAAAAGAAAGAAAGACAGGACTGATGTGAAGGAGCGACAGTGTGGATGTACAGATGTGATATAGATGTGCAAATGTGTGGGTGTGGTGAGGTGGAGAGGTAGATCTGCGGATGTGAGCGTGTGAAGATGTAAATGTAGAGAGGTGAGGGGGTGTAGACGTAGATGCGTCGATGCAACGGCAGCGCAACGGCAACCTTAGTTGTGCAAGTACAACGCTCGCTGAAAAGGCTCAACTAGAACTGAAGAACGTACATGTCACACTGAAATTTCCACGAACAGGGCGACCTGAGAGTAAACGACGTCACGATCATGACAAGCGACTCATGTATTCCAAGCGAACATCGTTTGTCATGAAGGTGAAGTACACACATACTAATGTCACGATGACTCTTTTGTGGCAGCCACTTATGAGTAAGCAAAGTAGCTAAAATTTGTCAACCTCTCAAGAGAGCCGGGTGGTCGGGAGACATGACTCAGCTGCAGGGGCGCCAGAGCAGCCGCGAGAGATGACTCAGCCGCGAGAACTGGTGACTTTGTAGTACAACTTTAGTACGCGGAGCAATCTGTGGAGCTGGAAGCTGAGAACTGGCGACTTTGTAGTGCAACTTGAGTACGCGGAGTATCTGGGGAGCTGGAAGATGAGAACTGGCGACTTTGTAGTACAGCTTTAGTACGCGGAGTATCTGGGGAGCTGGAAGATGAGAACTGGCGACTTTGTAGTACAACTTTAGTACGCGGAGCAATGTGACGCTGCCAGTTCTCAGCTTCCAGCTCCACAGATTGCTCCGCGTACTAAAGTTGCTACAAAGTCGACACGCACGCTCTCCGCAGAGGGTTGCGCCGGACCGGGCCAAAATGCACTCTCGCCTCCATTTCGCGCCCTCGACACGCACGATCTCCGCAGAGGGTTGCCCGCGCCAAATCCAAAACGCACTCTCGCCTGCATTTTGCGCCCTCGACACGCACGATCTCCGCAGAGGGTTGCGTTTCGTGGTGCTCCGGCGGCACTGCCCCCGGCCTTAAGAGAGAAAGTAAAGAAGAGCGAGAGGTGCAGATGTGAGATGTAGATGTGAGGATGTGAAGATGAGCAGAGATGATGTGAGGATGTGAAGATGAGCAGAGATGTAGATGCGCAGATGTGAACATGAGCAGAGATACACTGGCCAGAAGAAAGTTGCGCTTCTTGATGTTGAAACTCATGACA